TTGCTATATATATATATATATTTGCAAATATATATATATATATATTTGCGATACGTTCCATAGTTTATTGTGCACATTTTATTTTCCCAAATAAAATAAATATCGCCCCAAATGCAAATCTAAGGATTATCCTGGCAACCTATGACACGTCTTGTTACAGCAATATGGCGGCGCCCATGGACGAAGTCTGTTATGTACCGATATTCTCGATGATTTTCTGAGTGATTTACTACATAGAGTTTAAAAACAGAAAGATTAAACATGCTAATGTAGTTTGCATATTTTTGCTTCCATTTTTACCGAATCTGAGATAAGCAGTCTCATGTAATGGATCCAATTACAATGCTAGGCCTAAGCCTGGGCCTTCTGATATTGTCAACAGGACGTTTCGCGGAGGGGAAGACTGTCCGTGGTGTCGTTAGTACGCATTCGTCCCAAGCCAGTCATACCCAGTACATCACACGGTTTTGTTTCCACGGTAAATGAAACTAATTAGTGTTTTCTAAACTTTTAATGTATTTGGCGTAGTCTACTAGATAAGATCCGGTTTTTTTGAAATGTTAATTTTAAGGCCTGTTTGACTTGAGTAAGGAATGTGTTAAAAAAAAGTCGGAGAGTGAGCTATGGATTTAACTTGCCTAGGTCTACTGTACTACAATTTTGAATACAATTGCCAGAAAATTTATTGCTGAATTACATATAAATTTGAATAAGTAGCCGTAACTGCATATCAGAATAAAAAAATATTGTCCTCGCCAATTGATGTTTAAAAATTGCAGTTATTATAGTTGTCATAAACCATTCAATTTCTGGGGAAAATTTAAGGATTTGTACCATAAGATGCCATTAAACATTTTTTTTAAATTGTTTTGAAACCATGACATACTGAGAGCTCGAAGTTTAGTTATTTTAAATTAGTAAATTACAGGCATTGGCTAGGATAGGAATATGATACCATACGATCTCAGTATTGGTGAGTGTTCTTAGCTGTTGCCAATCTAACATTAATTTCAGTACAGTATCATACAGTACCTCTAAATAAAATATTATTATAAATGACTTTATTATTGAAAGATCATCAAAAGTCTGAAGAGTAATTGATAAATGAATTAAATTTAGTTTCTTAATGAGAGTTAAAGTTGGTGGTGAGTGGGAAAATTTGTTTTCTGAAATTTCTTTTATTTTACAGCAACTTACTTGCTAACAGTCCAAAAAGAAAATTATATACAAAATTATGTCATTGTTTATCAACAGGCAGTGGGTTCAAAACAATGTTTTAAGAAGTCTCCCCTTTTAGAGGCAGTAAGAAAGCAATCAAGTAGCACTTTGAGACTGGTTAAGAGTTCATTTCACAAGATTCAACAGAGTATAATTCTTTTGTTGAATGATCAGTGGAGTAACATGCAATCTATATACACAGTAGTACAGTAGTATGAAAACATAAGGCATCTATAATAAACAAAAGGGGTATACAAAAATACAAAGAAACAAGTGCAGGGACGGATGTAGATTTGAAGGAGAAGAGTTCAAAATGTTCCCAAAAAACCCCCAAAAATAAAGGGGGTCCGAATTTTGATTCTCGCTAGATGGCCGGAAATGAGCTTTTCCGACTTTTGAGGGGTCTTTTAATGACTTGTAAGTTCTTCAAAATTCAAGGCTTCCCCCCCCCCTTCAAAATGGCTGGTAATTTTATCTCATTCTTATCACAGTAAGTAGGCCTATTTGTGTATACAGAAAAAAAAAAATCAAAGACATTATATTCCAGTATTGAGTAGTAGGATACATAGTCTTTTTTCCATGGATCGATCAACAGGCCTGAAGAACGCACTTTCGTACAAAAATTATGTTTAGGACATGGTACCAAAAACAGTGTTATTTACACATTTTAGGCTTAGGTAAGCACTACTATGACTATACCCAGTAGTATTTTTTTATGTTTCTTCACAGGGGGGGGGGGGGGGGGGGGGGGTTCGTCCAAACCCCCTAAACCCCTTGGATCCACCACTGAAATAGCAGTATATATCTTTATTACTTTAATAAGCATTATTATTTACTCCTGATTGATTGACATTATCTTATCTTTTGTGACAGGAGAGACTGCTATGGTAAGGTATGAATTGAACACAACCCTGGTTGGAGGACGTCTTTACTTCTTTCTTGATAGCAGATGGGAGAATACGCAGCAAACAGATAATTGTATAGAGAAACTTGGCAAGGCAAAATTCAGTGGTACGTTTGATTGTAAATCCTTTTTTGATTAAAAATAATGGTTCGCTACTTAAACTGGGGAAGGATGAGTACAGTGGTAGATCCAGGGGAAGAAACAGGGAGAAAAGAGAGAGAAAAGAAAATAAAAGAAAAGAAAGAAGAAAGAGAGGATTTTGATTCCATGTATTAGTATCTATGGTGACTGTCAAGCATTTCTAAACAAAAATCTCTAGCAGCATCCACCCTCTCCCCTTCTCTAAGTGCTTTAATAATAATAATAATAATGATAAAAATAATAGATGAATTTATATAGTGCAAATAAACGAGGTCAATATGCGCTCGGGACTAGATGTTGCACTTTTCAATAATTTTCTCCTCCCCTGAGGGTCACTTCATGTCCTCCGCAGCTAGTAAGCCCCAGCGCACTTTCATCTGTCCACGCCAGGGGCTAAGTGAACCAGTACAACCCCCTACTCATCTCGAAAGATGTACTAGGTTCTTTAAAGTGCACATGAGGATTTGTGTACACTGGGCCTACGGTTTATAGTCCTTTTTCGAGAAGACTTATCCACCACCAGAACCATAGGAGCGAGCCAGCCGCGAACCCGTGCCGATATTGTTGGCTATGTTCTCGGTGCCCCAGCCTTAACCGCTCGGCCATCTGGCTCGCTCGCTCAGCCATTTGGCTCCCTCAAACATGTTGCATGGTCCCCATCCCACATTTTTTCTAGATCATCCCTTTGATTAACAGTGTGTACGAATGAAAAATATAAAAGATAATCTGTAAATTGCAACAATCATAATTTATTGTCTACTTTTTTTAAGGAGGACTGGATATTCATGTTCTGTACTCTTTCAAAATTGAAAAAAAAATCTAGTTGATTAGCCCAAAATAATTTGTTGATTTTTTTTTTTCTGTTTTCAGTGCCTTTGAATGGAACAGAAGGTAATCATACAATACCGCATTTTATCACGTCACAAATTTGGCACGTCACTTACGGAGACTTGCTGACCTGCAACATTAACAAGCCAATGGCCCACCACAACTATGCCACCTACAAACTTGAGTTCTTCAACCCAGATGTTGAAGGCAATCCTATGGATCACTTCAGTGATGAAGAGACAGGTTAGTTTTAATTAATACGTGACATGTTAACCCATGTTATTTTAGAGCCAGTTAATTGTGTACTCTGGTAGCTTCAATCTTGTCCACAAAGTCAGTGTTTTTTTGTTGACGTGTGTGTCGTTCCTTTCAACTTATATTTTATTGTAGATAAAGTTACAGTAGAACCTCCAGGGGCGGATCCAGAAATGTCCAAAAGGGGGGACCGGAAGGGGGACCGAAAGTTGGGCTGATTGAGACAACACTGTCGTAGGGGGTCCGGGGCATGCCCCCGCGAAATTTTTGTGTTCAAGACGCCCGAA